AACGGGGATAGTAAATTATAGTAATAAAAGGTTCAATCATGTTGACAAAGAGAAATAAATGGCACTGAAGTTTCCTCTCCCCACAATTAATTTACATGGATACAATTCACTTTCACAAATTGACAAATTTTGTGTCCACCGCTTGTAATAAGAGGAAGAAAATAATTTGTTTCCATATGAACTTAGCTTCTAGATGTTACTGTTTATGCGCATAATAATAATAACAATAATAATAATACCTATTTTTATTTTTTCTGTATATTTTTTTATTTATAGCATCAGTACTGTCCAACCTCATAAAAAGCAAGTAATTCCCTAAAATTGTGTTTGATAAACAGATAAGCTAGCCTATAACTTATTTGATTAGCTTATATGTATGAATTCAAATAAATTTAGTTTGGTAAGACGAGCTTTTTTAAAAAGCTCGAACCTATTTCATAAGCTTCTTTGGATACATTTTCAAATAAGTCAATTGAAATTTTTATTCCATTTATTTTATCAGCTAATTTTACTAATCATTTTTATCATATAAACTAGTTTGTAAGCAGTAACTAGTAAGTCATAAGTAGGCCTGTAAACATGCCAAGACGATCTCGAGCTCAAGACCTTAACGAGTCGAGCCGAGCTCGACTCACGAAATAGACAATCCTAAAATCGAGCTTGAGCTCAGCTCGTTTACCACACATAACAAACTGAGTTCAAGCCGATCTCGAGTTTTACGCCGGATTATATAAAATTATATAAAAATTATATTTTCAAGCCTTAACGAGCATTATCACCTCGGCTCGTTAACCATACGAGCTTTAAATGTGATCAAATTCGATTCATTTATCAATCAAGTCGAGCCGAGTCATGCTCGTTTAATTTAACAGCACTAGTCATAAGCTATCAACAATATATTTGAAATTCATTTAAAATTTATAAACTAGTTTATCAACAATATGTTTAAAATTTAGTTAAATTCACTTAAATTCATTGTTACAGTTAAATTTACCAAATATAGCGTAAATGCCTACCGAGATTTCGCGGCCGATTATTTCCATCACAAACAATATTACGTAATTTAATTAAAACAAAAAATAGAGAGAAAAATATGGGGGGTTAAGGTGACCCATAATTCACCTAAGGGCCAATGTCTCTTTAACCCAACGGTTTCAAGTAGCCGCCCCCAGTTATGAATTCTGACCCTTTCGATTTTTGCTTAACCCAACAACAAATTTTTATTTTTTTTATCTTTATAAATAAATATGTGGCTCGGTTTATATATATATATATACATATATATATTGTTATTATATAATACGATAAAAGTTATGTGTTTTTTAATTTATGACTCTATATTTTTAATTTTCTTGGGGTCAGTTTGGCTGATGGAAATCCCATGCGCCACTTCTCACTGAACCAAAACTTATGTTGCCCCTTTGTGACACTTTGTGATTTTAACCGGATTCTCATCTTTTTTAATTTTTTTTTATTTTTATTTTCAATACCAAATTTGAGGTAAAAATATTAGGAAGTGGTGTCAAATTAAATGTTTCAAAAGTGTTCATTACTTTGGAATTGAAATGTCATTGATCTTGTAGTTTTTTTATTTATTTATTTATTTATTTTTATCAAAACGATAGATTCTATTACTCAAAGAAATTTACATAGTGACCCGACTAAAAAGCCATACAATCAACCCAAACTGGGTGATTTTAAAATCAACCCAAACTGGCTAAAAAGCCATATTGATCTTGTAGTTTTTAAAAATCAAAATAAGGATAATTTTTACACTCGGAAATGACACGTCATTAAAAATAACCCTATTAGAATTCGATTAGTTGATTAATAATAATCTCGTACATTCCAATATTTTATTAATTTGAGAACAATTTTTATCAGAAATATGATTTTCAACCCAATAGTGACATTACGGATGGAAATATGATTTTCGTCCATAAATTTGAAGTATGATAAAATAAATATAATATATGATTTAAGGGAATCCACCATAATTATGTCTATGCATGTTGCAATTTGAACTAACTAGTATTGGTGAAAAAAAATAGTTCACAACCAAGTATATAATCATGTGGATCTATGGGAGGTTCGAACTTTTGTATAATTTAGGGTTTTTATTTTTTAGTGAAATGCCAATGAATGAATTTTCCAAGGAGTCTCAGTTTTGTATTTATGATAAAAATAAATAGATTGAGAACTAAATTATTCGTTGCATTGCAAGAGCTTCATGTGCATGATTGATTGATTGTGCTCGATCCAAAGACTCATCCATTTTTAATTGTCCATTGATCAGCTCTTAACCAATACTACTAGTATTCATTCAACAGTGACCCTCTCTCCAAACATTATCAAGGAGAGGAGATAAAAACAACGGGATAAAATCAGTCCAAATGCAAGGTCCCGTTAACGACATAGTCCTACTAGCTAGACATGGGCAACAACATTCAGATTTCTCCCAATATGACAACAAGAACCACAATCTAAAAGAACCAAAAGAGATGAGATGTCTGCAAAAACATGATGTAACGGGTCGTTTTGCGACATATCTAACAAACCACAAACAACCGCTAAGGCGTCCGTCTTTGCATATTAAATCGAAAATCCCGCATCGAGCGCAAAGCGGAGGCCAGATCTGAGAGCTAAGGCTTCGGCTGTAACTGATGAAAAAGAACCCGAAATATGAGTTTGAAAAATAGTCCAACACACACCTTCCGAGTCGCCTATCCATCCGCCTAAGCCGATACTCGAATCATGGACCGTCGCATCACTGAATAAAGTGAGACCATTTTTGCATTGATCAGCTTTTTGGTTCTGCATATGAAGTTCAGCTGGAACTTTCAGTAATTAATGTTCCGAGTCATTATAATTTATATGTAATTATTTGGTCATGATTCTCTAAATCCATCTCCTCCCACCTAAAAAAATTATTCTCTATTTTTTTTTCTCAATAAATATAGTGATTCATATATATTTAAATAATTTATATTTATATTGTTTTATATTTAATAATAATTAAATTTTAAAAATGTGATATGCCAATTCTCAAAATTCCATGCTTCATTATTTGGCTTGAGTAGATTTTAATTTAATTCCAATCTAAATTAATTCCGGATTACAAAAATATGTTGATTTAATTATGATCATTTTAGATGTATTAATTGTATTTGAATATCAGTTCCTATTATAACCATTGAATTGTAAACTAGTACAGAGCCCGTGCGATGCATGGGATGCACAATTTTAAAACTATTTATCCGGGCTTATAATTATATACATGAATAAAGAAAAATGTACGGGATATATATAGTACGTGACCCGTGCGAAGCACCAGATATATTTATTTAGAGAATATTATATTATAAGATGCAATATTCAATAAAAGTTTATAATACGCAAGAAAATTGTACAATGTCCAAATACTCGTGCGAAGCACGAGATATATTTATTTATTTTATGACTTCATAATATAAACAAATCTATACTTAACTTTGACAAATAAAACAAATAAATATTTTAGTAAGTATTTAATGTATATATTAAATAGGAATATATTTGGTATAATCAAATACCAAATATAATCAAATAAGTCAAAGTGTACATTTTTATTTGGTATTTGATTTTTTTATTATTAAAATATTTTTATTATTCTTACCTTTTTAAAATAAAACAAATAAATAAATTAATTAAATAAATAAAATATTATAATACCAAAATAATAATGACATTTAATGCAGTTGACTTTTTTGGATAGTAAATGTAGTAAATAGAATCTCCTTTTATATAAGTATAGATTGTATAATCCGGAATAGTAATGCAATAAATGTTGTTGATTTTTCTTTATACTAAATCTGGTAAATGGTATACCTTTTAATATAAGTATAGATGTATTTTAAAAGTTGATAACTTTTGTATTTCTTATCGGTTTTACATATATAATATATCAAATTAGTCATTTTAGATGAGTTTTGATTTGACATTCATATTATATATATAAAATAAATAAATTATATTTATCTTTATAATAATAATAAAATTATTTATTAAAATTAATTAAAAAAATAAAATTATTTCTTTATTAATATATTTATGTTTAATGTAGTTATATATTATAAGTTAAACAAATTATTATAATATAACACAGCTAAGTCACACAAGTAATAAGTGTCATACTAAGATATATAGGAATATATATTTTCTTATAAAAAAATATTTAAATTTTCAATCACTTTTTCTCATTAATTTTAAATTTTAAGACAAAAATTTAAGCAAGCACTCGTGTAATACACGAGTGTTATACTAGTTCACATATATATAACTTATGATATATGAACATAATAATTACTACTTCTTATATTATTTATATCAAAATGACATGGTTGTGCTCAAATTTCAAATCAATAAATGGAGAATAATTTATTACCAAATGGACAATAACGGTAAGACTATTATTGAGTATGTTTAAAATCAAACCATATATACTTGGATAAGTGATATATTTTAAAAACAATATAAATGAAATTATGAAAGTTCATGATATAAATATATATTTTAATTTATGCAAAAACTATGAGTCCCATGAGGAGTTTAGATTAATCTATATATCTGTAATTGTTGGCAAGCTTCATTTAATTTTATTCAGCCTTCAATTAATAATAATATGAGTTCATTTAATAAAAATAAGTTGCATTTAATAAAAAATTCTATAACCTCCATCAAAAAATCGCTACAATATATATTTTTTCTTTTAATTTATTCCATACAACCATCCACCTATTTTTTTACTATATTTTGGATTGGTAACGGTTGCATGCGATTACCATTTTTTATTTCTTTATATTTGGAGAATGTAACATGGTTACAAGATAATGTTTAAACCCTTAAATTTGAATGGTTAAAAATATTTTTTTAATTTGTATGTTGACTATACACATGTAAAATAAGCATTAAGTATTGATATACTATAGATACAATGCAAAAGATATATAAGGAAAGTCGTCTTTTATAATAGAATTTTTACACTAGCTCATTCAAATTCAAATTTTTTCATGCAAGATTGTACACTATATTAGTTGAATTTAATGAACAATAATTATTATTTTATTTTATATAATAAATATAGTGATGAGTTTGAATACTTTTATAATGTTCATTTTTACTAACGACAAAATTTTTAAAATGTGATACTACTATTTAACTTATAATTTTATAATTATACACATACACGTAATTTATAAGTTATACAATTTTAAATTTCTGTGCAGGGGATCAAAATATCAAATACTAGTTGTAATCTTCAAATCCAATGGATTTTAAGACTTAAGTAACTGAATTTGCAATTATTTCATAAATAACTTGATCAGCACCATGTAAATTATTTGACACGTACCCAAAAGATAAATACTTGTAATATTTACAGAACTTTTGAATGCTTTTGGAGAATATCAGAACTCAAAAGTGCATGAACCAATAACGAGTAACGAACACATTAATTATAAAGCTTATCACATAAATAAATAAATAAAAATAAAAATAGTCATAAATAAATAAATGAATTGCGTACCTGGTAGAGTTTCATCCGCCCTAGATTTACTGCAGCATTTATTGCTGGACTGTATTCAATGTAATTTTTTTTTCTTCAGTTTTTCCATTATGACGATAAAAAGTTACCCTTATATACTCGTGTCTATCCATAATGCTATTAAATTATTTGATAAAAAGAAAATAGCAGATCTAATATCCAATTAATTTAAATATATGAATTTAATTGCCTTTAATATATGATGAAGGATTGTATGTTTATTAGTCGATTTGTGCTAAATTAGATGATTGGTGTAAATATACCAATTTAATTGCATTTTATAAATGATATAGGATTGTGTATGTTTATTAGTAGATTTGTGCCGAATTAGCGAATTGATCTTTATTCACATGTTTAATCAATCAAACTAGTATGAGTATCGTGCATTGCACGGGTAAGATTATAAATTAAAAATTTTTATTAAATAATATCTATAAATTAAAAATATGAATCAATATGTAAACAATTACCTATACTAATTTATTGAAAATATTATATAAAGGGGTCAGCATTGAGCCCTTACCTATTTGCCTTGGTGATGGATGAGGTCACAAGGGACATACAAGGTGATATCCCTTGGTGTATGCTCTTTGCTGATGATGTGGTGCTAGTTGACGAGAGTAGAGCAGGGGTAAATAGGAAGTTGGAGCTGTGGAAGGATGCGTTAGAGTCGAAAGGCTTCAGACTTAGTAGGACGAAGACCGAGTACATGACGTGCGCTTTCAGCATGGCTTCACATGATGATGGTGACATTACCCTTGACGGGCAAGTGGTGGCCAAGAAGGAGACTTTCCGGTATTTGGGATCGATGCTACAAAAGGATGGCGGCATTGATGC